CATCATCATCATCATCATCATCATCGCTCCCTTTTTCTGTGTGGAAGGAGGCTTAAGATCTACTCCAACAAAAACGAGAAAGCTGGCTTTGCTTGTTGGAAAACCTGATTTGCTTACACCTTCCACACCCATCCTCCTGTCCTTTCCACGGATAAACGTGGGATACCTCCCCTTCTTCCTCTTCCTTGAGATGCAAGCTCAACTTTTGTTTCCTTTATGGCAAAGGGGGAAAAAAACCCCGCTGTTTACACAGGGTGGGGGAGAAGAGATAGCTACTCAGTTGTCAAACCTGCTGAGGTGGTGTTATCAGTCTGTTTTTCTAAGGCCAAAGTCCAAATTGTTTTAGCCAGGTGAGGGAACCAGCAGTGGGGAATGAAGCATTTGTTTACTCTTTTTCTCCGCTGCTGGATGTGGCCACAAAATGGCTCCTGTCTTTTGAGATGTAGACATGAAATTTTGATCTGGGCTAATACCTCTGTTGGACCACGATGGAGTGACCAGCGTTGCAGTTCTGCAGGTCTCTTCCACCAGGCAAAGATGTGCAGCTTGGAAACATCCATTTTTGCACCACAGCACCCAGAATTCCTCAGCCAGTAGCAGCTTGGGGGATTCTGGGCGCTGTCGTCAAAAAAAGAGAAATTAATGTTTCTCTTCTGACCTTTGCAAATATGGTATAAAACTGGAGGCTGTGGGCTGCCCATTACCCCTACAGCCAGAGGGCCATCTGGGCAAGACGGAGTTCTGCAGATTCCACACGAGACAGAAAGATCGGACAATCGCTCTTTTGGAACCCTTAAGCGCTTTATAATTTTATGAAGGATTTCAGCTTCTAGAACTGCTTGCTTTTATTAGAACAACAATAACAACACAGAGACACTTAAATCCCAAAACAAGAGAAAAAGCTGGCACAAGATGGGAAGGGTTTGAGCAAAAATTCTAAAGCAAGAATGAGCAGTATCTTAATTAGACTAAGATCTCAAAAGCAAATTGGCAAAGGAGGGGCAGGATCTGTTCTCAATCATCCCAAAGGGCAGGGCATGTAATAACATAACATAACAACAGGTTCAACAGGAAGCCAAATTTCAGTTGAGTGTCAGGAAAAACTTCCTAGCTGTTAGAGCAGTACGACAATGGAGCCCATGACTTTGGGAGGTGGTGAGGGCTCCAGCGCTGGAGGCCTTCAAGAGAATCTTGGACAACCATCCATCAGATTTGCTTTGATTGTGACTCCTTCGCGGAGGAAAGGGTTGGACTCAATGGCCTCAGAGGCCCCTTCCCACTCCATGATTCTAGGATTCCATACTTTCAAGAACACACTTGCCCTAAAGGACTAGAAAGTTGGCTTGCTTTGATATTTCAGCGGTCAAATTAAGGCATTAACTATCCTTGTTTAATTAAGGCATTAACTATCCTTGTTTAGTAATTCTGCTTTATTAAGAGAGAGGGGGAGAGAAGGAGTACACATAAGCCCCTGTCTGAAGGTTTAATAATCTTTAAAAGAGAGAGAGAGAAAATAAAAAAGATGGCATTAAAAATAAGATGGACAGATGACACCAGGGCTTGGAAAAGTTACCTTTCTTAGAATAGTAACTTTAAAAAATTAAATAAATCTTTAAGTAAGGAATTTGAAAAATTGTAGCATGACAAAAAAAGCAACATGTTGTGGGGGAAAGCCTGCTGACCACCCCGACATTCAGGATTTTTTCCCTTTTAATATTTGTCTTCTCCCATTTCTTGCTTCACCTTGTGAGACTTAAAGGCCCAAGTGAGGTATATTAATCTGGGAAGGGGCTGCTGGAGGGAGCGCCTACATTTGGGAAGTGAGGATGGCTGGCAAAGGAAGAACTTTTTATCTTGGAACTGAATTGTTAAGGTCCGTGGCAAGGGAGAGAAAAAGAGAATACGTTCCAGCAGAGGCTTGCGGTGACTTCCTCTCAGAGGAAACACCTGATAAATCATCAGAAGTTAATGATCAAAAAGCTTATCTGAGCCTTTTCGTTTATAAATTTATAAAACAAAAGAGAAATAATAAAGCCACTGGATAATTAGTAACCAGGCCAGGACGGAGGCTCTGGAAATCAAACTGACCCCTAGATCAAAACACGGCCTGGGGGAGATGTGGAAGGAAAAGGTGGGGAGTGGAGAGAAAGGATGATGGAGGGTGTCAATTTAGCACTGAAGGCGAACAACAAGAGAGGGGAGTGGGCGAAGGAAGAAGATGGGCAGAGAACCCCCACAAAAAATGCAACACGGAGAGAAAGAGACCTGTGGAACATTGAGGCTTATCTCCTTCCCTCCCCAGGTAAGTGCTTGATCCGTGGCCACCCTCCTCCTTTTGCGGTTCCCGGGCTTCAAAGCAAGGCCAGGACGGAGGGTTGATTGGGTTGTATGGCAGCTAGGTCTTTACATGCGGGGGGTGGGGGGGAGAAGGTGGCAGTTTTTGCTTGCTTGTAATTGCTAAAAAAAAACGGAGTGTGTTGGTTCCTTTTTAACTGCCACACTAGGTCTTTACATGCAAGGGGGGGGGGGAAGGTGGCAACTTTTGCTTGCTTGTAATTGCTAAAAAAACCAGAGTGTGTTGGTTCCTCTTTAACTACCATGCAGTTGTGTCTATTAAGCTCTCGGTCCTTGGCTTCCCCAAATGGAAAATTGTAGCTTGACTGCATCCCACCAGGACTAGAAGTAGATCTTCCATGAGATCCAGCGCAGTTGCCAATATTGAGCTTTAAATATTGCCTTTTAATGATGACAGCCGCCTCGGGTCCTTTTCAAGGAGAAAGGCGGGGTAAAAATATTTGAAAGAAAGAACTTGCCTTGTTAGTCTGCTTCAGCATACGGAGAAGAAGAAAAAAACTAGGCCATGGATTTCTGTGTTTCTTCCCATTTTGTAAAGGCAGTCTGATGAGGGGGGGCTAGCTGTGTTTGCGTCCCTCCGAGGGTTGCTTTCAGACGGTCCCAGTGGGGGGACCCACCCTCTCCAGGAGAAAGGTCCCAAGATTTCGAGAGCCATGAACTGTCGGCCTTGATTCAGGGCACTCGCTTGTAAATACAGGGTGGCCCCGTAATGGCAGAAGCCAAAAGAAACCAGAAAGATCGCATGGCAAGGAATAGCCAAGTTGCAGAAGAGCACAAGGTGTTTCTGTGCAGGCAGAGGACTGAAATCAGAGCCTTTTGGGGGAGCAGGGAATGAATCGGGCACGGGAAAGTTTGGGAAAAAGAAGGAGAAACAATTCCTTCCCAAGCAATGAATGAGTTGGAAGCCGCCAGCTGGACGGCAGGAAAATGAACAAAGCAGTTGGAAATGTTACTGACAAGATGAAGGACAGAAGGGAGCCTTTAATTTTTGCATTCATTTTTTAAGGGAATTCCCCACGTGCATCCAAGAGCATTTTTAAAAATAGGTTTCAAAAATACAGTATATACCTTTACAGTAGCAAACAGATGGCTTAATCGTGATTCCTAGCAAAGAGAGAGAGGGCTATGTGTTTGCGGGGGCCCCAGCTCTCTCTGTGTCGAGGGTGCCAGGAGCTGCCATGAATGCCTCTCGGATACGCCTGCCCGGGAAACACTTCTCCTGAAGGTCCCGTCTTCCCAATCTGATCCCTTCCCTGCTTACGCTGACAGGGTGTGCCTTGGGTTTTGCTACCAGGCAGCACCTGAAATGGTGGCCAGAAAGAGGAAGAGATTTGCCAAGAGGGTCTCCCCATGTTCAATCCCGGCGCCAGAACCTTTTCTTGCCTGAACCAGATCTCAAGGCACTGTTTTTAAGCCTGCAATTGTGTGTGTGTTTTTAAAAATTATTATTCATGCCAAGTGGTCACCTCTGAACATTTAGACCACAGTGAACCCAAAGGTGCTCCATTAAAGCAGGCGCATGAGGTGGAGGAGAGGAAAGAGAGGAAAGAGAGGAAAGAGAGGAAAGAGAGGAAAGAGAGGAAAGAAGGAAGGAAGGAAGGAAGGGCACAATCCAGTGCAGTTTCTGCACTGAATGTGTGCCAGATATAAGCTATTGTTTTCTGGCCTTCAGAAAATGGGTCAAAACGTTATTGTTTGAAGAGGACTTCAGAAACATCTTACCTCTGTGACATCCTTGTGGTCCCATGAAGTGTTTGTTTTGATTTGTCATCCAGTTTCCTTTTTCTTTGGATTTTCAGGGTTTAATGCTTTTCTGGATCTCACTATTTACGCCTTGTGGGTAGAGATGAGTTGCTGTGGTTTTGTTTTTAGAAGTTGTTAGCCACCCAAAATAGTGCCTTGGCACTAGATAGGCAGAGGAAGGAAGGAAGGAAGGAAGGAAGGAAGGAAGGAGAAGTCTGGAGGAGAAGGAGGGAGGTAACAGGCAGGAGGTGCCCTTACTGTAATAGTCTCTCCACCACTGCTTTCTGGTGAGCCATCTCCTCCGGGCTCAAGTTTTCCAGCTCCTTCATTATCGGAGGAGTGAAGTCATCCCCGTCGTCGGAGGTTTCCTCCTCGGACATCCTGGACTCGCCCATCCCGTTGGCGAGCGATGGGATTTCCACGCAGAGATCTCTTTTCTCTCCCTGGATCGGGCCGACGGGCCCCCGGCTTTCGTTTGGGGAGGCGTAGGAGTCTGGCTCGGTCAGGGCTTTGATCAGCGTCTCTTTGCTGAGTCCAGATTCCAGCAGGGCTCCCAACAGCTCCACCTGAAGATGGGTCAGTTTTGAGACCATGGTCTCGATCGGCGCCGGCTCTTGTCTTGAACCCACACTTCGGATGGGTTTGCGACAAGCTCCCCCCTTTTCCCCGCTACACCATGTTTCCAGAGTCACATGTCCAAGCGCCTGCGACGTAGAAGTCGCTGTGGATCCTGCCTTGGCGGCCCTGCTCCCCCCAAAATTCTCCGAGGCACCACCAACAAAAAAAATAAAAATAAATAAATCTGCTTCAGACCCCCCACCACTCTCCTGAGTCAGGGCTGATAAAGGGACCCTCGCCTATCTGTTTACATTGGAGCAATGCAAATTCGCCAAGGTTCATATTTATCTGTGTGCTTAGGCAAGTTACTGAACTTTGGACTTCGGCATTGCAACAGCAGTTCACAAAGTGCGCAGAAAAGGAGGGAGGGAGGGAGAAAGAAAGGAAGGGGTGGGGAGAAATCGCAAGATGGCGCAGACGCTGGGCTGGCTTCGAAAGAGAGGTGAGGAGCTGCTGGGGTGGGGTACTCCGATTGTGGAGCCAGAGGTTGGGAGTTCGATTCCCCACCATGGGCCTCCTGGACAGGGGCTGGACTCCATGATCTCATAAGGCCCCTCCCAGCACTGAGAACCTAAAGATGATTATTATTAAGAATTGCTGGATAGCTCTCTTGCTGCAGAGCCAGGGGACGGGTGTTTGATCCCCTCCCCCACTGGGCCTCCTGGACTAGGACTGGACTCCATGATCTCATAAGGTCCCTTCCAGCTCTGCTGTTCTAAGATGATAATGAGATGCTGGGTGAGAAATTGAATGGCATCTCTGGAAAAGGTAGATGATGCTTCTTTGGGGCTGGAGCCACAAACCAAACTGGCCTCACACCTATTGTCCTATGCCACTGGCTACCCTCTTCAGATTCACCGGGCCATCCAAACCTTCTGCTGCAGGCAAACCCTATCGAAATCCAGAGGGCCTGTGCCGTGTTGCACAAAATCCCCAATGATTCCAGGCCATGCCTTAAACTCATCACCTTCCACATGGAGTTGTCACTTAGCCCCTGTCACCCACCCACCCACTCAAAGTGAGGCTCATACCTAAACTTCTGTGCAAGAAAGAGGCGGTTGGCATTTCTAGTGCTGATTTGCGCTGCTTTTAATATGCTAACCCAGTAAATTTACCACCCGTCCTTTTCCGTTAAATTGGGAGTTATTTTAAAGGGAAAACCACTGACACCCAGTGGCCAAAAGCAACCAGCTGCACCGCTTCAAAGCCACCCGGGCGCTTCTGGAGATTGCCGAGAGGCTTCCTGTGGCTGGGCTAGAGAGAGAGAGAGAGAGTTCATGATCAGCTGCAATTCTGGCTTATTCTTGAGCTGGGCTGGTGAATCCATTGGCACGTAAACTCTTAGGATGGTGGCATTATCCTGTCTCGGCAGCCCAGAAAATCACAAGTCTGCCTCAATCACAGTAAGGACAGACATCTCTCCCGCCAGCCACTTACCTGGTCTGTGACCTGAAGAGGTTCTCAGTCCTTCCATTCACATTCTCCTTTTTCTCTCGCCCTCTCACAGCAGAGACGGTTGCAGAAGAACTGCACAACTTTAAGATGGGCAACGAATAAACTGAAATGGAGATTTTGTATACCTCAGTTCAATCATCCGTCCAAAGGGAGACGGCGGACAAGAAATCAGAAGAATAGGCTGAGACTCGGAAGGGCATCCAGGAAGGAATTAGGAAAAAAAAATCATCACGTATAAGGATGTGTTACCGGTGGCCAAGACCAAGGTCATAGAATAGGCTGAGACTCGGAAGGGCATCCATGAAGGAATTAGAAAAAAAATCATCACGTATAAGGATGTGTCACTGGAGGCCAAGACCAAGGTCAGCCACGCTATTGGATTCCCAATCATCCTACATGGGTGTGAAAGCTGGACAATAAAGAAAGCTGACTGGGGGGAAAATGGATTCCTTTGAAATGTGATGCTGGAGGAGAGCTTTTGTGGAGACATAACCTGGAGTGCCAGAAAGATGAACAAGTGGATCCTGGATGAAATCAAGTCTGAACTGTCTCTGGAGAATGTTGTAACCGAGGCTGTCCTACTTTGGGCACAACATGAGATGGTAGGATTCTCTGGAGAAGAAAAAAAAAGGATCATCGCAGGGCACCCCTACTCCCACATGAGATGGCAGGATTCTCTGGAAAAGAAAAAAAGAGTCATTCCAGGGCACCCCTACTCCTGAGAAGAAGGGCACAGGGACCCATTCCTGTATTCTGGCTGTGTTCCCACCCACACCACCTCCAAGAACCTAATTTATCAATCAGGAGATAGGAGAAAGTGTCCCTTATTCTGAGATTCTCATTTGAGGGAAGGGAGTCATACATCTCAGTTGAATTTGCCTCCCGTCCCTCTCGAGATGTCACTCTGCCATCCTTCTGCTGCCTTTCTCTTCTCTGGCCTGCCTGTCTACCTTAAAATGTACATCTTTCAGGTCTGTTGCTCTTGAGAGATGCCCAAAGGGGCTCCGATTTAATTAGATGCTTTCAGGGGAAAGGGGCTTCAAGATGGAGGCTTATGACCACTGCCTTGTTATGAAGTATGTGAATTGCAGAGCGCCTAGGATCTCTTGGGAAAGCTGCTTTTTTAAAAAAAGAGGGTTAAGGCTGTAATTACTATTATTATCCTAATGATCATCTGTGGAGTTGCTTCATTGACTTTAAACATTGTTATGTTGTCTGCTACCTCACTGGGCTTCTTCCCAATGGGAAAGGGTCTAGGGTGGTGCTTTGTACCAAGCAAATTAATATGTATCCTCCTGTCACATTAATGTTTCTCACATTAAGAAAGGCATTAAGAGAAGGCACCAGCCAATTCAAGTCTTTATGGTTGGAAGCGGAGTGGGTTGTTGAGATAACAAATCATACTTCAATTTTATCCTCTTTCTGTTTTCCTTTCTTAACAGACAACGGATGTCATCGTAGGTACTTGAAGTTGGAAGGCAGCAGATCTAAACAAGGATGTTGCATTGTACAGTATCTAAACCAAATCTCCTCTTTGTTATTTCCTCCAGTTCTTTTCCTCTCTTGTTTTTTTTTTAACCTTAACTGGAACAATCTCTGCTTTTCATTTCTCATTAGGCGACTGATGTATTCTAGCTTTCTGCATTTTATGTTTTCTGCTTTCTTCTTCCTTGTGTCCTTCCTTTTCCTCACCTTGAAATAAATCTATGTGTGAAATGCTTCCAAACTTTTTAATAGTTGCCTGTGTAGAATGATTCCTTGCCAAGCAGCCAAACCAGTGATAAATTAAGCCCGCAATCCTAGACATGTCCTTGTTGTGAGTAACCAGACTGAACTCAATGGGAGTCCTTTTTAAGGAAAAAATATGTGGGATAGCACTCTAAAGGCAAAAGCTTGGGATCTCAACCAAAGCTGTGTTAGAATATCTGTGGATGGTAGGCTTATCTCTAAGTAAACATGAACAATACACTGTAAATTCCCACCTTTTCTGGTCAGTTTCAGGAGGCAATTGCTTTTTCTAGTAAATTTCAAAATTGATTCCTTGCCTCTGTTCTGACCAGTGTCATCATCAGGTTGCTGTAGAAAAGTGCTAATCCTTTCCACTCCTTCCTCTTTCTCCTGACTTCAGAAGGAGCACCTCGGAGCTTATTCTGTCTTCCAGGGAGAAGACAAGAGAGCTGCTGAAAGGAACAAACCATCTTTCCAGTTCTGCTTGCTGCTTCCTCTTTTTTTAAAAACAAAATGCACAGAAAAACAGGAAGCTTTTGTGGAGTCGGCAGTTGGCTCTGTTAGAGCTCAGCGGCATTTCAGGGTCTAGAATCCAGTTGGTCGTTTACATCTGTGTAAACGGAACTGTGTAACATCTTGGCAAGTTGCCACTAAATAGTTAGGCAGGAGTTGCATCACAAGGTACTTATCTGACTGCTCAACAGGTATCCATCTAGGAAGGCAACCTATAGAATTACTGCAGTGGGTGACACAACTGAGGTCACCGCATGCCAAGGGCCACTGTTTTACAGACCAGTTTAAGAACTCGTCAAATTATGCTACGAGGGTGGCAACTGTCACAATAAAATCCTACACATTTTCACAAAAGTAAGAACAGCTAGGTTGAATGCGATCTTCCCTTGTTGTTGTTTTTTTTAATGTAATCTTGGTGAACTCTTAAGGGGGTAGGGAGGACTATCTTTCACTTCCCTTTTTTTTTTTGTTGCAATCAGCTAGGTTGAATGCGATCTTCCCTTGTTTTTTTTTAAATGTAATCTTGGTGAACTCTTAAGGGGGTAGGGAGGACTATCTTTCACTCCTCATTTTTTTTTGTTTGCAATTCAGAAAGTTGTGTGAAGCCATGCAGGAACAGAGAGCGATTACAAATGGGCCATGATGCTAACTAAACCCTCCCCCAAATTTTGTGAATGCATCAGGGCAATAAAACCATCAGGTGGAAGTGCTCCCATTTGAAAGCTGATCCATCATAACTGTCAACGAATTAACAGCAAGATAATTTTGGTTCAGGGTTGTCCTGGGGAGCTGAATGCTATTTTGATATGGGGTGAATAACTTTAGTAACAGAGTACATCCATGTAGGGAAGCTAGTGGCACCAATTTTCAAAGTGGGTGGTGAATCTGTCCTGGGTTCTAATGCGGAAACAAGAGCAAGAACTATCCATGGTGCCAGCACAGGCTTCTGCGGTTTAGCCCGCAGCGCCACCACATTCCTTATGATGCTGACTAAACCCTCCACCAAATTTTGTGAATGCATCAGGGCAATAAAACCATCAGGTGGAAGTGCTCCCATTTGAAAGCTGATCCATCATAACTGTCAACGAATTAACAGCAAGATAATTTTGGTTCAGGGTTGTCCTGGGGAGCTGAATGCTATTTTGATATGGGGTGAATAACTTTAGTAACAGAGTACATCCATGTAGGGAAGCTAGTGGCACCAATTTTCAAAGTGGGTGGTGAATCTGTCCTGGGTTCTAATGCGGAAACAAGAGCAAGAACTATCCATGGTGCTGAAAAGTATTCCTAGAAACACGTGGGTTCATTATATCCATCAATATGTAATAATACGCAGCTGCCAAAGAAATGTACCATAATGGATTTCTGCAGGGAAGGTAGTTTTCTAACGCCTAAATCCTGACACTTACCTGGCAGGTGCAGGATGATTCAGCTTTCATGCCAAGCATTTTGAAAGCACCAAGCTGACAACCCTGGCCTTGGGCCCAGCTGCTCTTGCGATCTGGGTTGAACGCCATTGCACATTCAAGACAGGGAAGAAGAGAACGAACAGGGATTGGGACGGGTGGCTGTCCGAGCCTCCCCCGGATGTCCGACGGTTTGAACACTGCGCCTGGTTTCGGGGAAAAATAAATCCAGTTGGGATCTGACCTTGGCGACTTTTGAAATACAAGGGACAAAACCTGAAATGGGTCTCTTTCATTGTACGTTTTCTGAAGATTGGAAGTTTAGATGGAAACTTTTTCTGTGAAGTTTTTTTTTTAAATGTGTGTTATTATTATCACCCATTGCTATGAGAAAATCAAGGGTGGTGCTTGTTACCTGCTGTCAAGTCACCTCTGACATATAGCAACCCTATGAATGAGTGATTTCCCAAATGTCCTGTCCTCCTGCCAATTCAAGCCCATGGCTTCTTTTAGGGAGTCAGTCCATTTCATATTTAGTCTTCCTCTTTTCCTTCGGCCTTCCACCTTTCTTAGCATTATTGTCTTTTCCAGAGAATCCTGCCTTCTCCTGATGTGCCCAAAGCAAGACAGCCCCAGTTTCAAGACTCCAGATAGAGTTCAGGCTTGATTTGATCTAGGACTCACTTGTTCATCTTTCTGGCACTCCAGGGTATCTGCAAAGCTCTCCTCCAGCACCACATTTCAAACTAATAATTTTTTTCCTGCCAGCTGTCTTTACTGTCCAGCTGTCACATCTATACATTTGGCTGGAATTACAAAAGTGTGGATGATCTTGGTCTCAAGTGACACATCTTCACACTTGATGATCTTTTCTACTCTCCTCCTGATTTCTTGGCCACAGTCCCCATTTGAATTAACGAATGAACCAAGGTATTCAAAAATCTCTCTCACTATTTCAATTTCTTCATTGTCAGTGCTCAAGTTGTGTAGTTCTCCTGTACATTAATGACTAATTCCAAATCTTCACCACTTTGATTATTTTCAAATACATTCCTCATTCTGGTTCCTCCTCTCCCTGTTTGGAGAGATCCTTTCAGAACAGTTCATAATCCCACACATTTTGCACTGCCCTGAAACGCTTCATATTGTCAGAAAACGCCTACCTGCTGGCACAGAATGTCAGATCACTGAGGAATAGAATAAAAAGCCCAGAGAACTGAAAGGTTCCTCCGGGTCTGTTCATGAGACAGGCAAAAGGAGAGAAGATGCTAGGTTCATTTAACAGCCTCCCAATACTTGTATAATTAGGGTGCGGCAACAGAGGTGCCTGCCTTGGTTGTAAACTAGCCATGCTGCATGATGGGCTGTGTCCACTAGGCAGTATGATAGTAGTTACAGCAACAATGTTAAATGCCGCAATTTTTCTCAGTGAATGTAGAATTTTTCAAGGTGATGGATAAAAAGCAGTGAGGCTCAGAGACCACTAGCCAAGCAGAGGAGTATCACTGTCGCTTCTAGGACGTTTGCCTGCTGAACACCACTGAAACAGGGGAATGAAAATGTGAGATCTGTGTGACCCTGGAAGGCAGCAGCCGGTAGACCTCCAAGCAGGAACCATGAAGATCTGAAGAGTTGGAATTCCAGATGCTCAATGCAGTAGGCTTAAAGTTCTGTATAATAACACGGCACCAAGGTGAGCCAATGCATGTCAACCTTCATAGGGTTTTCAAGATCTAAAGTCTTGAGAAATGGTTTCTCAAGCTTTCCATCTGGTGGCATCTAGGATCACCATGCAGCTCGCCTAAAGGGGGCACAGGTGGCAGTGCTTGTAACTCCATCAGCAACACGCAAACTTTGGGTTTATCTTTGTCAGTCTCTTTCCCAGGAGGCAAACTGGGCAAAGCAAACTCTGGGCCCCGCTCCGACCCATGGAGCTGTACCCGTCCTTCATGTTCTGTGCCCAGCCTGAGTTCACTTATTCTGTGGATGCAACAGAGAGAGTGTAGAAAATCAGGGAATCTGCTCACGGCACACAAATTACTGGTTACGGTGTTGTTCCTTCAGTCAAGAGAGATATTTCGGAAGCCAGCGATTGTGTTGGGCGCCAAAGAAATCCCCAGAGGCCCCTTCCCTCCTGGCCTGTTCCCACACGCAAAGTCATCGTGAAGCGGCTCCAGGATGTTCATTGCTTGATGACGAGCTAATGAGGAGCCTCGATGGCTGATCCACTTGGTATGCCAGTGGCATCTTCCGATATAGTGAAATCAGCACTTCCAGCGAAGGAGAATGTCTGTTCAGGAGACAGGCAAGGAGAGCGCCAGGAAGGAAGAGGGTCAATGCAGGCATCTTCTTGCGCAGGCTTCTTCTCCTCTCTTGCAAAGGAAGAGACACTCACAGGAGCCCAAGTGGCCATGGAAGAACCAAGGCCAGCGCTTGACCTTCGCCAAAGGCTACCTCGGACATTTTAGCCCTCAAGAGCAGTGACACGGTGGTACCATACTCTCTCTTTAGCATCTAACCCTTTATTTATATTCTGTGAAGAACCAAGGCCAGCACTTGACCTTCGCCAAAGGCTACCTCGGACATTTTCGCCCTCAAGAGCAGTGACACGGTGGTACCCTACTCTCTCTTTACCATCTAACCCTTTACAGTACAGTATTTATATTCTGCCGTTTTCCTTGGGAAGGGACTCAAGATACATTTGTCCATGGCTCCTCAAACATTCCCTCAGGAGGGTCAGCACCAGTGAAATAAAACTCGGCAGGGACCCTCACAGTCACCGCTGTCCCTACCCCTTTTCACTTTCTTTTTAATAGCAGAGCAACAAGTCTTTTCAAAAGAAATATTTCATTTTTGTGTGTGTGAAAAGCACAATGAATGAAAACCATACATTTTAATGGTTTTTTTAACACTGTGTTTCGTTTACTTGGTCTTATGACTTTCCAGTCCTTTCAAGTAATCTGTGCCCCACCTTGGGTCCCAATTTTTTATTTGGTAGAAACTGCAGTGAAATAAAACTCGGCAGGGACCCTCACAGTCACCGCTGTCCCTACCCCTTTTCACTTTCTTTTTAATAGCAGAGCAACAAGTCTTTTCAAAAGAAATATTTCATTTTTGTGTGTGTGAAAAGCACAATGAATGAAAACCATACATTTTAATGGTTTTTTTAACACTGTGTTTCGTTTACTTGGTCTGATGACTTTCCAGTCCTTTGAAGTAATCTGTGCGCCGCCTTGGGTCCCAATTTTTAATTTTTTTTGTAGAAACTAGGATATAAATGTACTAAATAAAACGATGTGGAAGAAATAATGCCTGTTCCAACTCCACTCCTTGGCCTTCAGGAAATTTACTTTCTTGGATTACAAATCCCAGAAGCCCCAGACCACTACTTCTAAGGGGATTCTGGCAGCTCTGGTCCAAAATTGTAACTTTCCTATTACGTTACAGAGCTGGGGGCTACTTCCGGTCCCCCAAATCCGCCCCTTCATTAAGACTCGAAGGGAGGGGGAGTCTGAGGGCAGAGGGGGAGCCTCCTCAGTAGGCCCCGCCTCCCCCCAAACCTCTTCCTTCCGGTCTTCCCCTTCACGCCGACAAGCTTGGCTCGAGAAGACCCTGCGCATGCGTGCCCGGAAGCCGAGGAGCTCCGCCCTTCTCTTCACGAAGCCTCGGCCGCTTTGGCGGTGGTGGAAGTGGAAAGCCCGCCCTTTCCTTTTAACCCTCCCTCCCTGTGCCCCGTTCAGGCCACGCCTCCTGGCCTCCGGCAACGCCGCCAAGGCTGCGCGTGCGCCTGTTGTGGCCACGTGACCTCATCCTCCCTCCCTCTCCGAGGGGCGGTGCGTGCGTGCGTGCGTGCGTGCCGCGACGCGACGCGAGGAGGCCCCTCCCCGCCGAGCGCGAGAGCCAACGAGCGGCCTCGCCTCGGAGTTGCCCGACGGACCGACCGACCGACCGAAGGAAGGGGCCCTTTCCGTCCGTCCGTCCGTCCAGCCCGGGAGCCTTTTCCCCCGCCCGGT